CAATGGGCCCCGCCCCGGAGGTGGGGCAGAGGTGGGCCGCGGCCAGCACAGCGTACTTGTTCGCGCCGCCCGACTGTTTCTCTTGGCTGCACACGTTTACGAGGACGCGGGGCGGCGAAGGGGGCACCACCGTCTGCGATCTTGCTTATGTTCGGCTGTTCCGACTTGAGAGACAAGAGCGGGCGGACACGTATGTGCAGGGAGGAGGGCGGGGGCTGCTGGGTATTGCGATTGGCAGCACCGCACACCTGCAGCACGCCCGCGCTGCCCGCGGTGGCGGCGGCTCGGCGGTGACGACCGCCCGCTGGTATGCCGCGCTCCTGCGCCGGCTCCTGCTCGAGCCGCGTACGGCGTACGCAACACACGCTCCGCGCTCCGTGCGGCTTCCCTCGGGGCTTGCCTCATCGGCGCGCTTGGTCAGAGCAGCAGCAGCAGCAGCAATAAGCAACAGGCCTGGGAAGTGACTGTGCGAGATAGAGGTGGTCTCGTAGCTGCGGAGGAACTGTGGGAGGGGCCCAGACCGAGGCCGGGGCCCCCGGCAGGCTGGCAGGCCCGCTGCGCACGGGTGCGCGCCGCCCGCCCGTGTGGCCTACCCCGCGCGGCGCCCGCCCCGACCCACTCGACCGCTCGGCGCCTTGCTCTGCTCTGCTCGCTCTGCTCAACGCTCGGCGCCCCCCGCAGGGCACCAGGGCACTTGCTCTGCTGCTGATAGCAGAGTGCAGCAGCCAGGCTGGCCGTCCGTCCGTGCCGCGGGGGCAGCCAGGAGCCAGGGCGCCGCGGCCGAAATAGACGTTCTTCTTCGCCGCCGCGCTCCCTCTCTGCTGAATGGGCCCCCCTCCACACCACACTGCCCCTCGCTGGCGCCTGGCGCCTGGCACCGCACACGGTCCAATAACACACACACACACACACTCACACACACACTCACACACACACTCACACACACTCGCCCGCGCGCACGCCGCTGGCTACTTGGGCGCGCGGACTCTAACATGTGGGCTCGTGGGAGGATGTTGATGCTACGGTTGTAGGGGGTGGGGGTGGTTGTTGGCATTCCACGTGCGCGCCAGGCAGAGGCCAGGCGCCAGGCGATCGCCTCGCAAGCCGACGGCCGTTGCGCTGGCCACCTTTCGGCCTGCCTTATACCTGCCTCTTTGATGTCGCCGGCCTAGTCGCGGTGACTAATCCCCGGCCCCCAACCACCCCCGCTGCTGCCCGCCAATCGGGTGGCGACGACGACGACGGCGACGTATTCGATCTCTAACGACAAGCGTTTCTTGTGTTGTTGCAGACGAGCCCCGGATGCGCTCGGGGTCGTGGGACGACGGCCGCCACCACCACAACCACCACGGCGCGGCGAGCCGCACGCTGAGCTCCGAGGAGAGCTGGTGCTCCGCCTCGGCCTCGGACCGGGAGCTGGAGCTGTCGTCGGACGAGGAGAGCGAGAAGAGCTCGAGGTGAGACTAGTAACAAATTTCAAAGAATTCATCGCCAAGTAACAGTTGTCATTTCACCGTACGATAACACTTCCGATATCCTTGCAATATTATTTGTGTTTCGCACGGTCTCAATCAATCAATTTTCAATATAATATACTTTTTTGACTATCGCTCGATAGTCTCATGTTTGCCCGCTTGTTGACGTGTTGTCTGTCTGCAGGAGCAATGGCCAGCTGAGCGCCACCCTCAACAAGGCGCGCACGCTGTGCGACAAGTGGCGAGGGGGTGGCCAGCCAGGCCAGCAGGGCCAGCCGGGCGGCGGCCAGGGCGCCATGCCCGAGCCGCAGGACCCGCACGGCCCCCAGGGCCCGGGCCAGGGCCAGGGCGGCGGGCCCCAGCAGCCGCTCGCCCCCCAGGGCGGCGGGCCCCAGGGCCAGGGCCGCCTCCTGCGCTGGTTCTCCATGCGGCGCGGCTCCAACCACTACGAGGTGGAGGGCCAGGGCCCGGGACACGGCGCCGGCTCCACCGCGGAGCGTCCGGAGCGCAAGATGCCCCTTCTAGCGGAGGTGAGTGAGGGCGAGCAGGTGGACTCCAGCGACAGCGCGCCGCTCATCCCCACCTCGGCCTCCTCGTCGCCGCAGCACGGCCCGCACGGCAAGGTGAGCACCGCCCCGCCGTACCGCCGCGGCCCGCCGGACGGACGGCGCACGCCACGCACGCTGCATCTGCATGCACGTCTACTTCCAGTTACTACATGTGCCGCATCTCCGTCGACCGCTAAGTGTACCGTGAAGACTTACCGTGGAAACCCTTTTTTGGCTTTTTATTATTTCTTCTTGCGGGTTGTGTAACAACGCCTTGGATTTAGGAAAAGGGGCGGGGCGGGGCGGGGGGTCTGCATGAACCTGTAAAAAATAGCTGACTTCATAAGGTTTTTCGGTCTCGCTGTCACTATCTGTGGCGTGTTATTCAATTCACCCTACCTACAGAGATATCGGCAGAGGGGTAGCAGTGTAGCTGAAACCTAGAGGCGTGTTTCAAATGAGGGGTAGTTTCACTTGTAGGGATGAACCACCAAGTACTCACTTCAGACAGTTCGTAGGCCTTGCCACGTCTGTGAGGGCGAGGGCGCGAAGGGCGCTCAACCCCTCTACCCTTAAAAAAAACCTTGTGGTAGAAATCAAAATATCCTGGCTAATTATTTTGACAACCATCCAATCACGGATTTCTCAAAATTGCTATTGGTTTGTCAGTCTTTTTGGACCGACACTATTTAAATGTATGCGCTCCCCTTGCGGTAGTGCATTGGAGGGTGATCTTATCCACTTAAACATTTAAACCATTTCTTGTCTCTTATTATTGAACCGTGGGAACCAAGTGATTATCTTTGGGGGAAGTTGGTAGGGAGAGAGTAGGGTGAGATAAGTGCATGTTGGAAAGTTGTTTTAACTTTGTGTGTTGGTGGTTTCTATTTCATTTGAAATATTATGAATGTTTGGGAAATGGGATATGTTTGTAGAAATTATTGGAATGTTTGGGTTGTGTTTGTGTTTTTGTTTTTTGTAAAACTTCTAATAATGTTAACTAGTTACAGAAGCCTCAATTGGGGGTTTTTGTAGCAGTGTTTCTTGCCTGTATGTACAGTTTTTGTGTTAATTATGAAAGTTAATACCAGCATCGTGTTTCCGTAAGGAACATACTATATTACTCATACTCTTATTCACAAATTGGTCCTTGTGGGCTGTGGCATTCTGTCTGAATTCCTCGCCACCCTCTCCCCTAAAGTTTGGCTGGGTGCCACTTGTGATCCTTTGCGTGGTGTGTTTGTGACTCACAGGGATTCCTCTCATTCCCCGCTGTGACAGTATCCCCGCGGCCGAGCTCGTGAGCGTGTGTCCGTAGCTCTCTCTGCAGATTTTCAAAAGTCTACTTAAAGCTTTGTGCTTGAGTGGTGCCTTGCCATTTGTGCTAACATCTTCATGCATACACATATATCTGTGTGCTGAATTGATTACTGTCAAGAGTTTTGTGACAGATTTGTTGTCTTTAAATTCAGTAATGATAATCTGGACATTTTGTCCATTTACAAATTCACCTTTATATTTCTGTAAATATGGGTTTCCTGAGAGAAAAGTTGAAAAGTAAACTGAATTTCAGCAAAAGACGTCATAGTTTCTGTGTGAAAAATACTTCTACAGCACTACCGGTATGAAGTTGTCTTCTCTATAATTCAAATCAATTTGAAGTGTACTTATTGTTTGTGAATGTGCATGGATTAGTGTGTGATTTTACTTAAATTATTTCAACTTGTAGTGTCTGTATGTTTTTATATTTCAATATTGTTCAATTTCATCTTAAAGTCAATTGTCTATTTTTATATTTTCCTCATTATCTCCATTTTGTGTTTCTAATTTTATGTTTAATTTTGTCTGCAGGTCGATGAGGAGAGCACATTAGGACTAGCTGGATTAGTCTTATTCCCACGAAGACAACTTCCTCCTTCACTTCCCCCTGCCCCATCTAACTTAACTCCTCAACAGCTGAAGAGAAGATATATTGTAGCAGCAATAGTGCATAGCGAGAATTCATATGTAGCAACACTGCAGCGACTTGTGAATGTAAGTTTTGTTCTTTATTGCAGCTTAATTGCTGTTGTATTATTGAGTGAGTCACACGTTCTTTATCAATCTGTTATCAATTTCAGGATTATAAAAAGCCACTTGAAGATAGTCAACCCCCAATTCTATCTGCTTCAAAAATCCAAACACTCTTCCATCGTCTGCCAGAAATACTTCAATGTCATACCCTCTTTAGGATAGCACTAGCAGAAAGTGTGAGGGCATGGGATCGTGATGAGAGACTAGGAGATGTTTTTGTTGCTAGTTTTAGCAAAGCAATTGTATTAGATATTTATTCTGGTTTCATCAATAATTTTTCTGTTGCTATGGAATTAGCAAAGCAAGAATCAAAACGGAAATCAGCATTAGCAGATTTTTTCAAGGTATCGTTCTTTCTTACCCATTGTGTGAATGATTACAAACTCAACACTACTATTCAATGATTAATTATTTTATTTTTATTTTTCACAGGTGAAGCAAATCAGCTCCCATGATAGGTTGTCCTTCTTTGGATTGATGGTTAAGCCTGTTCAACGATTTCCTCAGTTCATTTTGTTTTTACAAGTAAGCCTTTTCTCTCCTTGTTCAAAGTGGAAGTACTCCTTCTTCATTGCTTAATCTATTAGACAATTGTTTCATTGTGAATTTTATAATCTTTAATTAGGATCTCCTGAAACATACACCTCAAGGTCACCATGATAGGATGTCTCTTCAACTTGCTCTGACCCAGTTAGAGTCCCTAGCTGAAATGCTCAATGAAAGAAAAAGAGAGGCTGAACAGTTCCAAGCATTTCGAGAAATGTTGCGACTTGTTTCTGGCAAATTCAGTGCTAGGCCACTTGCTGCCAGTGATGGAAGTCGGTGTCTTCTGAGGGAAGATAATGTCCAACAACTGGTAGGAAACCATTCATCTTCATTATTCCTATGAGTAATTAAATTTTGTTTTATCTTTCTTTTTGCATTCTGGCACTGATTGACAATTCTTTGTTTAGGAATTTAATGCCCAAGGTTTAATATCCAAGACAAAATCAAGGCGATTGCTGCTACTAAATGATTTATTAGTTTGTGTGGCTGTTAGTCCCAGCCAAAGACTGTCACTGAAATGGAGTTGTCCAGTTGCTGATATTGAGGTAGAGTTTACTTCACATTTAAGCTTTTTGGAATTCTTATTCAATTCAAATTTAATTCATCAAGTCTTCTTTTAGGTTGTTGATAATAGCACATCTCCAACTCTTTCAAGACTTCTTACTGCTGGGCAAAATAAGGGTGGAAGCCTGAAGTCAAGTGGAAGTGGAGACTCTTCTGCCATTCACGGTCCTCACAATATTGAGAAAGGAGCTGATGGCCTCTGTGCGGAGATGGGTGACCTAATGCATGACTTTGAAGTTGTCAGTAGAATACAGGATTTAGTGGCACAGCTGCGTGGAAATTATTCAGTAAGATAATTTTGTGTTTGCTTGATATTTAGTCAACCAACAATGTGTGGTATATGTCTGTGGATAGAACTTAAATTAAACTTCCCTTATTTCAGGAGTTGAATACTGAAACAACCAAAAGCCTCCTTTCCAGTATTCAAGCTCAAATTCAGCAGAGAGATGAAGAGATGGCATGGCTTGATTCATGTTGTTTGCAGCTTAAGAGGAGGGATGATACTCTTACTTTCCAAATGGAATCGCCTTCTTCAAAACAAGATTGGATCACTGGTAAATTGAATACATTTGTATTTTTTACTGAACACAGGGTCAAGTTTGTCAGCTAATACCTATTGTAATGTTCTCAGAACTTCGATTAGCTCAGCTGGCTCTGGATGCTAATAATTCACCAGCGTGGGAGGTTCCTGAACAGGAGCGTAGACCATCAACAAAAATGCCCTTGTTTGTCCGAGCGCGGCCTGTTGTTAAAACTCACCACCATTCTGAGGTAGAGCATTCCTGGCGGACCACCGTATCTTCTATTCCTGCTTTTCTCAAGCTCTTACATTTAAATTTGTAAACAAAACTGATGTTTCCTGCCTCCTCTTATTAGGTGAGATGTGGCTGCTATTACACTGTGTCTGCCAGCAAGGCATCACTTCGTCAAGCATCCCGCAAAGGCAGAGCTCGTAGTTCAAGTTATTTATGGGTCTGCACCAGCGATGGCGTTAGTTCCCATATTGCTGTCATGACCGTCGGCACTGGTCGTGAAGTTGGTCTGCGTGATGCAGGTCTAAGAGATGCAGGCAGTCTCAGCCTTGCTGAGACTTCTGTTAGTGCCATGGAATTTGTACGTGGTGATGGCAGCAGCAGTGACACTAGTCCTGACAGTGTTTGGATAGGAACCGAGAGTAAAAAGTGAGTATTTAAGATCACTTTAATTTACTTGCATGCACAAAATTATTTGATAAATCTTTTCTAAATTATTTTTTTCTCACATTTTAGGCTTTTGGTGTATGCTGCTGTTGATCCGGAGACTCCACAAGAACTTGGCAGTGTAACACTGACAGCTGGTGTCACTCATATACGTGCTCATTGTGACTCAGTATTTGTAGCATTAAATAATGGATCACTGCTAGTTGTAAGAAGAAAAGCTAGTTCAGCAGAAAGCAGTGTTGCGGGTTGGGCACTACATGATGTTGTAACTGTAACCTTAGGAACTGACCCTGTGGCATATCTCTTGCCCATAAATTTGTGCTTATATGCAGCGTGTGGCAACAAAGTTTTTGTTTTGAGTGCTTTAACAGGAGAGGTTCAGGTAAGAAATTTCACTGTATCATTCTTGTAACAATTATATGATAAGTATGTATCACCCTGAAACATCTTTGTTATTTTTCTTTAACAGAAACACTTTAGTGTTGCACATGGGGGAGGCAGTGTCCATCTCCTGGCACATTCTGGAATAGGCCTATGGATTTCACTTCTTGGATCAAGCACAATCTGCTTATATCATACTGAAACATTTAAGCATTTACAGGTAGGTTTTTAGGCAGTTTTGATTTGGTATTGTCATCTTACTAATCAACCAATGAATGCCTTAAGGCAAGCTTGCTACACGCCAGTCGGCCTTTTTCTTTATAAAAAGCTTTAAAACAATTAAATTTTATACCTAAACTATGTTTGTGTTTTTCAGGACATAAATATTGCTTCAAATGTTGTAAGGGTGACAACAGGTGCCGGTTGCACCGGCTGTGTTGGTTGTGTGGGATGCTCTAGCTGCCCTCAAGGAGACTGTGCTAATAACAACAGAACCCAAAGCAACAGTACTAGTTCCTCAGCAGGTGTCAGTGTAACTGCTCTCCTAGCTGGTAGAGGACTTCTTTGGGTTGGAACTAATGTTGGAATTGCATTGACAATCCCCTTACCAAGATTAGAGGGAGTTCCAATTATAAGTGGACGAGTCAATATATCTTACCATGCCCACTTTGGTCCTATCACTTTTCTGCTAGCTCTCCAGCCTCGACCTGGAAGGGCCTCAAGACTGCATGCTCAACCAGATGATAGTCAAGCACAAGAAGAACAACCAATTGAACCTCAGAAGGTACTTACCTATAAATAATTGTTTCAGTTCATCTATTAAGAAACCCAACAAGTTACATTTCATTCATAGTGTTCAGATTTTAAAAATCAAGATCCACTGAATTTTTTTCTGCAACTGAACACACAGTTTTTTATTTTTTATTTTGTAGGACACTGAGGAAGCATCCACTGAAGTAAACGATTCTGAGGAGAGAAAAAGACGAGATGCTGCTCGTCTTCGCCACCAGCTAACTAGCAACAGCAGTCCTGTGGTTTTAAGACGTCGGCACTCAAAACAACCACCCTCTGACATCGTGAGCAGGCGTGCTTCAAAGACTCTTCCCAGGGGATTAGGCATGTTCTCAACTTCCACTACCTCATCTCAAGGTAAGTTAACGTTTCCATTATTGAAATTTTTTATGTGTATAACTTTAACTTCACTTTTGTTGTGAAATGCCTATTCTTCAATAGTTTAACTATTGAAAACAAATAGCATCCAAGTAAATTTCTATATACTATATTATTTGCTTTTCAGGTTCAGGAGAAGCTTGCGATGTTTATGGACTCTATGGTGAATTAATGTATGTGAAGGACTATGATGGCGAGGAAACTGTCACTGATCCTGCATATGAGTCACTGAGGCGCAGTGACCCAGAGTTGGCAGCCATTCCAGGGAAAGTTAGCACACTTGATCGCCAGCTGAGGCTTAAGGCAAGCCGGCCACGATCATTGGACTTGTCTAATTGGTCTGTTGATTCTCGCACCTCCTCTCTGTATACATCTTCAGGCTCTGAGGATAGCCGTCCAGTATCCAGACAAAACAGTATGGCTAGTGATAGCCAGTCACACGCTACCAACCAGACTCTTGCTCGTAACCAGCAATCAAATGACTCAGATCAGCCAACTGCTTCACAGCAAGCTTCAAATAAAACTAAATCTAAGCCAAAAGAACGTGCTGTGGAAGGACCCCGTAGGACTGTTATCACTCTGATGGGTGGAAGGGGTTATGTTAATTGGAGACAATCTTGCTGTCCTACAAGTAATGATAGACGGCGAAATTCCAGTGCTGTAAGCAACGGCAATGGTAATGCAAACAGTAAGGAACCAAATAGTAGTGATGCCCATCTTGTTGTATGGGAAATGAAACTATAGGAAATTTTTAGAAGGCAGTAGCAACACAGTTTTAATCAAATACACAATGTACCTTAATCTTTTAAGAAAGCATGTTTATTTTTAACAAGATTTTACCATGCGTGTGCCGAACAATTAGATGGTCTCTGTGTAATTTATTTATCTGTCTTGTGTTTGTTATTGCCATCTTATATCAATCTATGAACGGATTAAATTTTGGTTTATAAAATGCTAGTCACATAAAATAGATGTATGTGCCCAGTGCTCACATTTGGCACCAATTCAGATATCAGTCAACATACAAAAATTATTTGACCTCTGTTGTAGCATGTCTTTATTTGATGTGTACACCAGTATTTTTAAATCATGTCTCTCTACATTAGCTCCCGTTTTAATGTATAGGTATAGAGTAAATTTGATAAAAATCGATATTCAGAATTCTTTACTTAATCAAACTTTCTTTACTTTTTGTCAAAGTAAGATATGATGACGGAAATTAATTTCTTTTAAATTAACTGTGATAGTATCACAATTTGGGTAACTAAAATTCAAAATGCAGCAGGTACACTACAAAAATTTGCCATTAGTACAACACTGCACATCAAAAGAGTTTCTAACTACCTATTAAGCATGTGATAATTTTTATGATATTGAGTGAACTTACTTGTGCTCTTGCAAAACTTTTGGTGTACTTATTTCCCAAACTTTTTATTAGTATACAGCACATTTGCACCAATCTCATTGGTGTATTTCCAGTGTTATTGTTTTCTTAGTGAATAATCAGTGTACATATTTCATGTAGATTTTGCATATTGCAGCTCAGTATTGGCAGCATTTGACCCTAGTCGTTATATGTATAAATGTGTATG